CATGTCCCATCCACTTACATTGAGGAGGAGGGGTTTATTACCCACACTGCAGCCAGCCACCAGAGGGCGATCGAGTTGATTTGGTTTCACTTTCAACAGTGTGTTGTTGGCATCTGAAATCCTGTCTATTTGCATTTATTACATTATTGCACTCTTACGCTGTGTGTGCACAAAATAAGTCAATAATGCTCAGATATATTTTCACCAGACTTCATGGGGATATTACATCAGAGTTCGGAGCTGATGAGTCAAACAGAAATGTGGAGTGTTCTCCTCTCCTCAAGACGACTGACAGAAATATTGATCCATTGTTAAAGTTAAAATGAAGAAAGAAACCAAATCAATTTCAGGTCATTTAATTATAATGTGTCAGTTCTCAGGACTTTTTGGATCAAATGAGGTTTCTCTTGATAACTTTAATTTTAAAGTACATTGATATTGATTAATTCATTAAATGTGGATTCATGTTTGAACACAAACTGTCCTGCATGAATCTTCAAACCTGAATATTTTTTTGGGGAGTAAATCCACTAATTTATCTCCAGAATATGAAATAACTGATGAACACGCTTGTTGAAGTCAGTGGGACAAACTGTCACACGTTGACATCACGGTGACACGGATCACATCGGTGGACACAGCCCACGCCTCGCACCGGATCCCGCATGCCAGCGTGAGTTTGCGTGCGCAGTCGTTCCTGCCTCCGGCCCTGCGTGAGTGCGTGCGTGCGTCGGGAGCGCACAGAGGGCGCACCGGTGCCAGTTCGCTCCAGCCCCTCGCAGCAGCTCGGTCGCTGCCGGTTGCGCGCACACACAGTGAATGTGAGCAGGAATTTGGGGGGAGTGGAAATTCCGCTTGTTCCTCTCACGGCTCGCGTCGTGTTCCTGACACACACAGAGAGAGAGAGAGAGAGAGAGAGAGAGAGAGGTGCAGGTCTGGAGAGCTGAGATGTTCGTCTCCGCTGATTCCCACTGATTCCTCGTCTCCTCTCCCCGCTTGGAAGTACGTGCATCGCCGCCGTTTGGCATCAGAAGTGCCGGGTTTGATGTAGAATCGAGGGCGCACAGTTTCCACCTTTGGCGAGAGGATTTCTCCTTTTTGATTATTTTTTTTTTAGCCTCTGCATTTGGATTATTATTATTTTTTTTTATTATTATTTCTCTTTTCCAGGAGATGGCAAGTTGTTCCCCGTCAGACGCGGGGATCTGCTGCTGAAAGCTCGCAGGATGCTGGATCTCTTACTTTGAGACAGTCCGCGCTCACTGGACGTATAAAAACCTCCCTGGACGCTTGTTTTTCTCGCCTCGTCGCGTCTTTTATTTTCTTCTTCTTTTTATATATTTGCCTTCCGCAGAATGTCTGAGTCGTTCAATCACACAAGGATGCGCTGTGGATTGCTATTGTTCCTTTTCGCCCAAGTCGTCTTGGTTGCCTCGCTGACACAGACCGGTAGGTTTTGGGTTCTTTTCTGCTCGTGTGAACAAATGCATCTTGAAAACGTTGATCCGTTTTGCATCATTTTTGCACCATTGTTGCCCCTCACCTGTTATTCCTCTGCTTTCCTTCTGAGAGCTGGTCTGGAGGGATCCAACTTAGACCCGGTTCATACTTCTATTCTCCGAGAGGAATAACGAACGAGGCATAAAACACAAAATACTGCAAAACACGATCGATGCGGGCGTTTTTAAATATTAACAAAGTCCATTACAGTCTGTGCAAACTTACATTTTGAAATGATATGCGCACATGAAGCTGCCGTGTTGTGGTGTGTCCTCATTATAATAGAAACATTACGCGTTTTGCGCGCTTCATCCAGCCAAAGGCGCATTTGTGCTTCAGCGCTTGTTGCTACTGGAGCTTGATGCACACGATTTAATAAATGAGAAAATAAAATCTGATCGCGTCTGCAGGAGCAGCAGCAGCAGCAGCCGACACACCTCACCTCCATGGGCGTAATCACACTTTATGACAGGGATGAGAATTACGCACGGTACTTTATGTGTAGTCTCGGTTTATCACCTGTTCCCAGGCTGACAGAAAATGGTCAGGATGTGGATTTCTAGTGTTGACGTGTGGATTGGTGTTTGGCACAGGAAACATACATGTTGGCATGTTTTTGCTCCAGTGGGGGATGTTTGGATTCATGATGATCCGCAGCTGGAAGTCCTAGTTTCCTCACTCCGTCCCTGCTGCAGCATGTGTTCCAAGTGTTCCCCCCTAAGTCAGATTTCTCTCTCCACTAACCGACTCGAACAACTTCTCCTGTGCTGCAGATAAATGCGGGGGGAGTATAGAGATTCACACCCCGGACTACCTGACCTCCCCGGGCTACCCCGGCGCCTACCTTCCCTCCCAGCAGTGCGTGTGGGTGATAACCGCCCCTGAGCCGGGTCAGAAGATCCTCATCAACTTCAATCCCCATTTTGATCTGGAGGACAGAGACTGCAAGTAAGAGTTCAACCCTCACCCTCTCTCTCTCCTCTCTCTCTTCCTCCTCCTCCTCTTCCTCCCACCCTCTTCTGCTCCCCCCCTCCTACCCTTTCAATCCTGCCTGGATACAACAGGAAACTCTGCCACCTATTGGTCAAGGAGTTGCACATCTGCTTCCAGGAAAGTGGAGGTGCAAGTGTGAGATATGGCACCAAGGCTTCTGGCAATTACTTCAGAGGAAATGGGTTTTGATGAGTTTTGTAATTCTTGCTTGATAAGGAGGTTTTTTTTCTCTGGCTCGAGGAGAAATAACTGCCCAGTGGCTTTTTATTGATGGAGTTGAGTCTTTGCAGGAATGAATGAATTATCTTTCCTTTTCATTTTGGAAGCAAAGTGTACCTGCGTGTGTTCGGAGGAGGAACTGCTGTGGTGTGGATTTGTGTTTTCAGTAATAGAAGCTGAAGGATCTGATTTCTTTTTTCAAACTGTTGTAAGTGCTGTCAGCTTTGTTTTGTGAGCTGCAGATGTTGAAAGAGAAACAAATATTAACTCATGTGTTTGTCTGAAGCTGGTTTTCGTCTGTTTTCTCACCATGTGACATAAATAAGATCTAACTCGTTTCAGCCATTTCTGACAAAAAATCCTCATGTTTAATCTTGTAAATATAAAGATTTGCTTCTTTTCGCTGTTTTATATTGTATTAAAATGAACATATTTGGTTTTAGAACTGTCGGTCTGACTGAACAAGCAATCTGATGAAAGGAACTTGAAGATAGAGAACTTGTGATGGAAGTTTTTTTTAATGATGAATGAATAAATCTGTGTATGAGGTGACAATGAATGAAAATGAAGGAGAAAGCGTTTCCCGTCAATGTCACACGTCAGTCAGGAGGAAGTTTGGCTTTTTAAGATTTTCTTTCAACACATGCATCACAAATCATTCCTGTGCGACACTGGCTTCCTGTGTACAATCCTGCAAATCTGTAAACAAGCACCATGTCGACACACACGCAGCTTTTATCCCCCCCTGTCTTTGACACAGAAACACACATTCAATTGTGTGCATCCACACAACAACCCCTGTGTTGCTCCTCACCATAAATAAGTCTGCTTTTATGTCGGCTCCTCTGTCTTTTTTTAAAAGCTCCATAAACGGCTCCTGTGTAAATCACACAACTGGCCGTCCGGCGCTGCCTCACAGATGGGGTCCTCCTAATACTATTGGATCATGTTGCACCACCGGGGGACTGATAAACCATTAGCAGCCCAGACAGATAGTGGATATTGTGTTGTTCAGTGGATTACACACCTACATCAGTGTTGAGACCAACATGCTGCTGGAGGACGTAATTCTGCAGTGACCTTATTTCCTATGATAACCCAGGGAGCGATATAAGTATGCAATCATGCTGTTTAAGTATTTAATGAAATGCAATAAATCGCGGTGATAAAAAAATTGGGGGGGGGGGGGCACTGTGTTGTCTGCTTAAATTACTTTTCCTTAGGTTAATGTGCTGGAATCAGGCACGAAGATCCCATTTAAAATGAGCGAGTCGTTTTACATCTCTTATTAAAGAAAGAGCAGATAGAGCTCCAAGCTGCACAGACCCGTGGAGATCAGTCCGCCTCATACGCCTGATCCATGAACGGTTCCCTGGGAAGATATTGAAAAACATCTCACAATGTTCCAGAGGAAAACATTTCAGGATCTCGATGTGGGTCTGCTCTAAACTTCACTCTGTGGAAACCGTCCAGTAGTTTTTGCGTCATCCTGCAAACAATGGAAACCTCCTTGGCCGAGGTCATAAAGTGTGAAAAATAGAACAGCTTGTGAGATCTTTTCATGCATCTGCGGAGCCTCTTCCTGAAGCAGCTTCACTGCTCACTTTGTCTGGACACAGGGAGCAAACATCTCCACAGCTGACACTCAGTCCGTGCTGCAGGAATCAGACCTGTGGCCGTTCACCAGCCAGGCCACCCTGCAGCCACCTGATCGGCTGTTTTCTTAGGGGCCTCTGTTTTGCTCGATTGGTTTCCTGATTTGTTGTGTGAGTTTATGTTGGATGGTGACGGGGTGTATCTCATGGCTCTCTGGCTTGGCAGCAGCACTGTTGTTTTTGGGACAGAGTCAAATGTTCGAAATATGCCCATTGAGTGGGGCCTTAAGCCTTTGGCAAGACCGCAGTCCCACTTAAAAATTTCCTGAGATGATACTTAAGAGTTTTATTTCTCTGTTTGATGCCGCCGGTCTCGACGCCAGCTCCAAAATGTGATCCTGCCGTCTGTGAGGCCGTGATTGGAAACAGCAGCAGAAGGAAATTATTTGTGTGTGAGTTTGAATTGTTGAATGTTGTGTGTTTTAGACGTGTCCATGAGCAAGACCCTGAATCCTGATTAGTTCCGAATTCTACCATGTAAACAATTTGATGAATATCTCGGTTTTTAAAGCCAAAATTATAAAGTTTTACTGTCTCAAATATGAAGATTCTCTTGTTTTCTAAAAGCTTTTTTAACCGGACGTCCTTCACACCAGCACATGAAGCCGGTTGATGAAGCGAGGCGGCGACTGGCGGATTGATTGACCATGAAAACGAGTTGATCAGCTTTTAAGAAACATAACATGAAACACAAAGCAGTTGAAGTATTTACCCTCTGGGTCTGTGGAGCTGCTGAGTCGTCACCATCACTGATGTTTCACCACTTGAGGTTTTCTCTTCACTCCTGCAGATATTTATAGCTTTCAATTTACAAAACATCTCCGTCCAGACGAGAACTCAACAACTAGAAACTCTCACACAAGCATCCAAGATCCTTTCTCTCACTTTGGATCAGCCCGTGTGAGCCTCCTTTGACCTGACATTTTAAAGACTGGAAGTTTGATCGATCATGAAACAAAACTTAAAGCTGAAGAACATTGAGTACTGAGGCTCTGAGCTTGTTTATTCATGAGATGTGGACATTCTGAGAGAAAACAGCGTTAGTCTTACAGGAGAGCGTCTCCGTCCTTCTCCTCAGCTGTGGGGGGGAAGTGGGAGTTGCCTCCTAATTGAAATGTATTGTTGGAGTGGTACCCCCTCCTCCTCCTCCTCCTCCTCCTCCTTCATCAGATAGCATGTCACCGCTCGCTCCCAATTCTTCAAGTCCCATAATTTAATTACTGGACCAAAATGGAGCCAACATGTTCCAGTGCAGTGAAACATGGCTCCAGTTACGAGCCAACCAAAGAAACCAAAGCAGTGGCGTCCACAAGCAAACGTGGAGAATATCTACCCTGCCCCCCCCCCCCTTGACCCAGCGTTAGTAATTATGATCCCTAATTACATATTTGCCAGCAGGGAGATGTTGTCTACAAGGGTGATTCATGAAGAAAGACAACTGAGACTCTGGAGGAGTTATTCTCTAAAATTAGATGATCTACCAGTTTGTAGATAATGACACTTTAAATACAAAACTATTCAAAAGAGATTAACTTGACAAAGTTACGATAACGTATATAATTCATAAGAAACTCGGGGGTTACACAGATTCAGTCAAGTCTTCGTAAGCTTCTGTGAAACCGTCCATCTGGGTGATGATCTTTTACTTCCACAAACTCTCAAGTGACACAGTTTGTGCTCAGTGAACAGACGTTGGTTGAGACGAGAACCAGTAACACTTGTGTTCAGACGCACCGAGATCCATCGGCTCTGCCTCCGGAGCCAATCTGGAGCGGCACCAGAATGAGCCTCGTCTCACGTCCACGTCTGAAATAGCGCGGACGATAAAGTGAATCCCTGCGGAGCGCGGCAAAATACAGCAGAGGCGCGGGTAAGGAACATGCGTCGGTGGCAGGATAATTTGGGACATTTTTTTAGGAGTTGGCTGAACTGTTACCTCCTACATGAGGCTGCACTGGCGCGGCGTACAACACACACACACACACATACAGGCAGCAGAAACTTTCTGTCACTTACAGTATGCTTCACATGCACTGTTTGGTGCACACAGCTACAATATGCAAACTCTGCAAATCCTTCAAGAGGACAACTGATCCAGACTTCTCACCTTCTCTGGTCTGTTGTCTTTTGTGCGGTTAAACCCAGATGATGCATAAATATAAGTAACACAATAAAGAACAAACCTTTTGTTTCATCTATGAACATAAATGAGAAGGACCGGTTGAATCACAGGTTGAATTACAGTGATTGTTTTGGTTAAATACTGGAAACTTCAAGCTGAGACAGAGGACGGTGAGGCAGGTTTAGATAAGTAGAGAGTATTTACAGGGGAGGAATTTTCCTTTCAGCTCTCGTCTTCAAATGGACGAGCACAACATACAATATTTTAAATTTACAACCTGACATTCCAGGAACGTGAACCACAAATTCTTCCACCTCAAGAAGGAAGAGTGACGAGGAGAAGAGACAAAAACAAGAAAACCAAAGTCATGAAATCACACAAGCTGTTGACATGTTGATATTCTGACCCATGAGTACTCAGTAGCTTTTTAAAATTATTACAAATGTAATCATGATTCATTACCGCATCGGTCGGGCCGCTATCACATTGACAAAGTCGGCCACAAACAACTTCTTGCTACAGTAGATGTGTCCAGGATCACAATATGCAACACTCATGCACAAATACACACATTGTATAAAGAGGTGGAAACAATCCCAGCCACAACGTCGCCGCATGTAAATAGAGGGAGATGTTATAAATTCCCCCTGAAGGACCGGTTGTTATGTCCTGAGGCAAAGTGTTGTCTGTGTCTCGTCAAAAAATACGAGACACAGACACAGGACCAGTGTCCCACAGCCTGGATTCATCACGTAAGAGTGGAATCACATGTGTGTCTGTAATTTATATTTCACTTTCGGCAAAGCGATGGACAGATGGATGGCTTGTTCATGGTTACTGATGGATGGCTGTACTGTATGAGTCAGTTAGTGGCAGGATGGATGGATGGAGGGATGGAGGGATGGATGGATGGATGATGTAATTAAAGATTGATAAATGGATGATTGGATGGAATGATAAATGAAGTCATTGTTTGACAGATGGAAGGATGGAGGGACACGAATAAAACAATAGATGAGTCAATGAACCGCAGATGGAGGATTAGATGGATTGATGACTGGATGATAATGGATGGATGGATGAATAAAGATGAACGATGGACAGATACAGCAACAGATAGATGGTAGGACATGAATGAATAAATGATCCACAGGATGGAGGGATGATAAGATGATTGATGGACGGGTGAATAAATGGAATCATTGACTAAAGGATGGATGATTGATCAAGTCATCTGATGAAAGGATGGCAGGATGAATCAATGGACGGATCAGGAAATGGAGGGGTGGAGGACTGATTGACAGAAGAATGGATGGATGGATGAAAGGGTGGATGAAAGGGTGGACTGCTGAATAGATGGATAAACCATTGCACAAACATTGTTCTTGCGAAAATTCAAAACATTAGTCAGCGACTCGGCTGCCAGTTGTTTAGTCTCGTGTTTGTGCCACATGACAAATACTCTTCTTCTATCTCAGCCCCTTTTTCATGTGGCTTCAGACCGAGGCGTTGTTTCACCGCCGGTCCTGTGTTCAGCGTCCGCTCTGACGGCGCCAGATTTTAAAGAAGGAAAAAAATAAATTAAAAAAAGCGTTCCTTCCAGATGGTTGTATTTTTCAGTTCCACAGCGGCCACACCAAACAGGAAGACTGAATGTGCTGCTGTCACAGAGCAGTTAGCTCGTGGCGTCCTTCCAAGGAAATTTGAGGCTGGAGCCTTTTGGATAGTTTTTCTGAGAACAGTTTCTTCAGTTGCTCGGAGGAGCCGTAAAAATTAGGTCAATGAACGATGACTATACTTATTTTTTGTTTTCCCGTGTGTTGTACAAATGAGCCGTTCTCTTGTCTTGTGTGATATCAGTCCCTGTGTTCCGCAGATTTGTTAAATCTCATGGTGCATGAATTAATGATGAACTCTGAAGAGATTTAAATAGTCAGGATTGAAGGGGTTCACTGATTAGAAAAAAAGAACAGCGTCACATTTTCTGTAAAAAATACATTTCCCACATTGCACTGGGATTCTCCTCTTAGCTTAATGAAAGCGTCCAAAGAGACGACAGTACTTTATTCACTTAATCCCTCCTGGTCATTTAATGTCCTCCGCTCAGAGGTGGAACTATTAATAGAGTGAGAGAACCACAAATATAGAGACGGAGATGAGAGAAAACGAGGAGGAAATCTTCTGGAAAGACGCTGAGATCTCTGGGATTTGGAGTCAGTGAAGCCAAGAGATGAAGAGAAAAGTGAAAAGAGGGATGAAGTCAGAGAACCGCAGACGGGTTCAGAGAGACAGAGGCCTTCAGGCTGGCTGGCGTGGTCGGCGTGATCCTGACCTTGTGACAGACTTCTCACTATCTCTCCTCCGGCCTCAGGCGTTTTTTCCTCCTCTCGCTGCTTCACCTCCTGCTCCGTCACTTTCTCTCTTTGTCTCTCACTCTAGCTCCGGACATTTTCCTGAAACTTTCAAGTTTCATCTTGACAAAAAGTATGAATGTGTTTTTTTTAAATGCAAAGCTAACAGAGGCTTTAGGAAAACGTCTGTAAAGAATTAAGACAACACGACAAAACTTAATGCCGTGTGTTTATCCTGTTTGATTTATTTGCTGAAAGCCTGTCGTCAAATCGATATTTGCCATTTTGAAGACGCTGAAGTGGAGAGAAATGACATCATGCTCCCACTGGACCTCATGACCTCACGAGTCGCAGCTCGGCTCAGTTCCTCTTTTCTCTGACTTATCTTCACCTCTGTGTGTTTTTGCAGAACAGAAAAACTGCAAACGGGGGAAAGTTTCTGTGGCCGTCAGCAATGACCTGATTGTTTTATACAAAATCTGCTGCTCAACACTGTCACAGTGGACACGTGACAGGATTGTGAGGAAACTCTGGAAGAAGCTTCCAACAACTCGAAACCAAAATACCAAGCGATGAATGTTAGTTTCACAGTAGAACAAAACATTTCAGAACATTTCATCAGAGAACCTGTTATTTCCAGTATTTTTCCTCATGTTCAATTAAACACTTGTTGGCAGCTTGGTGCCTGGAATCAGTGTTAATTTTTGTATGTATATTTTTTGGCTTAATTAATTTTTGACAGTGGAGGACGCCAGGATAAGGCAGGGGACGGGG